CCTGCATCTTAAATTGCTTAATAAAAATAATCCTATCTACCTATTCAATTACCTTAACTAATCAATAATAAATTGTTAATGGTACGATAGTCGAAAGTTCCCCTTCATTCTCCCTCCTTGCACAGAGGTTCACCGACAACCAGGGCACCGGATAGTAAACCATTGCCGTGCGGATAGTAGACTACTGCCTTGCGGATAGTAAACCATTTGCCGTCCGGAAGCCGTGCGGGTAGTAGACTATGGCCATGCCGCATAGTAAATCATTACCGTGCAGATAGTAAACCATTGCCGTCCGGATATTAAACCATTGCCGGTTCACCACTGGCCGCCAAGGCTTACCTCTGACAAGAGACTTCGAAATTCAGAGTCTATCGGCTATCGTACCCTCAACTTACCTATTCATTACAATTAAGCCCTAGCTTACCTAAAATGACAAAACTCAAGAGCCCAATTCATTGGCCTTTCGGCACCCACCCCACCACCTACGTAATGCCTTGGGTTCCAACTTAGTAATAATAATATAAAACTTAAACCCTAAATCTATTAATGAGTATGTGTTACAACGTAGCCTTAACCTACCTATTCATTACATTACGGGCCTAGCTTACCTAAAATTACAAAACTCAAGAGCCCAATTCATTGGCCTTTCGGCACCCACCCCACCACCTACGTAATGCCTTGGGCTCCAACTTAATAATGATAATGTAAAACTTAACAATTAACCTACCTATCGATACACTTACAGCGTTTTAATTTACATTACAAGATTTTTCCTAGAATTACATTATTGCTCTTAACTACCTATGAAATTAAATTACTCTCAACCTTAGTAATAATAAATTAGAATGTGTAATGAAAATAAAATTACGCTCAAATACTAACATATGTGTTTATGTATGTATTTGTGTGTGTCTAATACGCTGGTGCGTGTAATGTGGGTGCAAGATAAAATAGAAGAGATAAACTTACGCTGCCTACCTATTCAACTACATTAGCGTTGGATGCTCCCTATCTATCCTACCTACAATTAAAATTAGGCCTATCTAACCTACCTATATAGCTACTTAATGTAATTGTGTGTGCGTATGTGTGCGTGTGAGCATTTTTACTTAATGTTAAAT